TGTCTGTCATTGATTAGAGATACCCCATCAGACACTGGTCTGTCTGTGTGTCATTGACTAGTGATACCCCATCAGACACTGGTCTGTCTGTCTGTCATTGACCAGAGATACCCCATCAGACACTGGTCTGTCTGTCTGTCATTGACCAGAGATACCCCATCAGACACTGGTCTGTCTGTCTGTCATTGACTAGAGATACCCCATCAGACACTGGTCTGTCTGTCTGTCATTGACTAGAGATACCCCATCAGACACTGGTCTGTCTGTCTGTCATTGACTAGAGATACCCCATCAGACACTGGTCTGTCTGTCTGTCATTGACTAGAGATACCCCATCAGACACTGGTCTGTCTGTCTGTCATTGACTAGAGATACCCCATCAGAGACTGGTCTGTCTGTCTGTCATTGACTAGAGATACCCCACCAGAGACTGGTTTCTGTCCATCGATCATTGTCTCGAGAGACCAAGTGAGGCTGCTCTGTCAGTCTGTTGCCTATCGCCTCCATCTCAGTAATGGGAAGAATCCAAATGACATTCAATTTAAATATCCGATTGCATTAGATTTGGAATCGGTCATTGGTGCCTAAACACTTCAAAGTAATCGGTAATTCGTATGCACCCGCCTCTTATTGTCAGAGCCATCAGAGACGACTACGTTTGTTTGCTGTCAAGGGTGGCCATCACAAAGAGGCGTGGTATCTGAATCAAGTCAACTCAAGTCTATTTTCATTTGTACAGTGAGAGAGAATAAGCAACACTTGTACCATTTGTACCTGTTCATAATTTAAACAAAAAAGCAAGTTGTGGCCGTGATTTACTTGTTGGACGCAAGTGCCATGAGAGATGTGCGTTTGAGATGCGACTTGTATGTGTCTGTGTTGAACCTCTTTCGCACCGTACGCATCCGACCGTGCTAACCGGAGGAGCGGGCGAAGGACAACGTAGCGACGGGAGCGATCAAATCGCGTCCAGTCAATGCGCCCCCACTGAGCCACATCCACGACCCCACCACCTTTGTGGTCCCTCGCAGAGCCCCCAAAGTTATTTCACTTCCTTACGTCAGCCCGACCACCGACAGCGCGGGCATTTCGACCGATTACAGAGACGGCGATTATCCGTCCGGCTCAACCATCACAGGTTGATGGGCCGGGGCGGTGCCAAGACAAAGGAGTCCCCCCTCGGGCCCTTGGCTGTGGCAACCAGAACAGCGACCGCGGCGGCGTTGGCGGCGGAGGCGGCAGAGGGCTTTACGAAACCGAGACAACATCCAAGGGGCGGTTGAGCCGGGATCAGCCGTCGCAAGTCTAACCCCCGCACCCCCGGGGGTTGTGAGGGGTGGGACGGGGGAAGATTTCAGGTGCCTTATCTCCTGCGCCGCGCGCAACCCGCAAATCCCCGAGCAATTCCACAAAGGAATTCTCCGTTTCATCTGAGCGGTATTGGTTCGCGCGCGTGTCTGTTCCGTCGTCGGTGGATTTCAGCGCGAGGGTTTTAGGGGATCGCGGCGCCACGCAGCTCTCGTTGCGGGGGCTCGCTTCCGCCCGACGAACGGAATGCGCTTTACCGTCGTTACCGTAGTTACTGTCGTTAACGTCGCTAACGTCGTTACCGTCGTTACCGTCGTTGCCGTCGTTGTCGTCGTTACCGTCGTTACCGTCGTTAACGTCGTTACCATCGTTAACGTCGTTACCGTCGTTGTCGTTGTTACCGTCGTTACCATCGTTAACGTCGTTACCATCGTTAACGTCGTTACCGTCGTTGCCGTCGTTACCGTCGGTACCGTCGTTGTCGTCGTTACCGTCGCTGCCGTCGTTACCGTCGTTACCGTCGTTACCGTCGTTACCGTCGCTGCCGTCGTTGACGTCGTTACCGTCGTTACCGTAGTTAACGTCGTTGCCGTCGTTACCGTCGTTACCGTCGCTGCCGTCGTTACCTTCGCTGCCGTCGTTGCCGTCGTTATCGTCGTTACCGTCGTTACCGTCGCTGCCGTCGTTACCGTCGTTACCGTCGTTACCGTCGTTACCGTCGTTATTGTCGTTATCGTCGTTGTCGTCGTTATCGTCGCTATCGCCGTTACCATCGTTACCGTCGTTACAGTTGCTGCCGTCGTTATCGTCGTTACCGTCGTTATCGTCGCCGCCGCCGCATGGGTCGTCGCCTGGTACACAGGAGGTCGCGGGTTCGATCCCGACCCTGACGCCTGCTGCTGCTGCTGTATATTTGGAGTTTGCGTGTCTCTCTCTCTCTCCTCGTGCTCGAGCGGATTTTTCTCCAGGTCCTCCTCTGACGGCGACGACGACGACAAATGATGAGCTCCCTGCCACGTTCGCTCGGAATGTAACGACGTGGCAAGGGAAAGTTTACGCAGCGCACGGCGACACTCAAAGAGAGGGACCGCGCCACGGTGGCTAGGAGATGTTAACTACCTCGCCTGATATACTGCAGGTCGCGGGGTCGATTCTGACCCCGTGGTCGCGTGGATTTTTCTCCGGGTCCGCCGGTGTTTCCCTCCTACATTTAGAATCAACAACACGCGTTTAGAGTTATTTCTCTGCTATAAATTTCCACGCGATAAGCCACTTCGTTGAGCTATCATTTGTGGCCAGGTTGCTTCTTAAAAAGAGCTACATAGCTCAGTCGGCTTTACCTAGTAAAATAAAAAAAATAGTTTAGTCTAGTTTGTTTAACATTTTTAATGTGTTGATGGTTTAAACGTCTCCACCCCCCACAGAGGGACTGTGTGTTGTTGTCTTGGTGTGGTCTGGGACTTTTTGTTGTTGTTGCTGGTTTGCTGCTGCCTTGCCCCAAACTTACATTTACTGTTGGATAATCAGAAGGAATTGATGTGCGTGTGCTATTTGTGCTTGTACACTTCATTTATATTTAATTATTTTAGAGACTTGCTTACATTTCCTCTATATCTTGCTCTTATAATACCGTATTTTGTATTATTTTTGTTGATGTGGCTCACTTGACCCGCCGCTACCGGACATCTTTGAAAGAGAGCTTCGTAGATCATCGGATTCCTCCGGACTGAACAAAGAATCTGATTCTGAGATGACGTCGACTCGTGCGCAGGAAGGGGACAGATCATTACATCGCGAGACGGCGAGAGATGGCAAGGGCTTGAGCTTGGGTGTGGGCGGGGGAGGACAAAGCATGGCTGATGATGACGATCCTGATGATGATAATTATAAGGGCTATATTGCAGCCGTGTATGACCGAGTTCGCCAGCAGTGTCGGCTCACGGCACATGCATGGAGTCACGCGCGTCAGAATCGACTGCCTAGAATTCGTGAAACCGACACAAAAAGTGCGGGCGAATGTTCCAAACGATAATCGAGAAAACAATTGATTCTTGGATTTCGTTTTAAAGCTTTCGCGACTGCAGGGATTCATATTCTTGGTTCTTTCGGTAAACTCACGTGACTTTACCGAAAGAACCAAGAATATGAATTGATTCTTGGGTTACACTTTGAACCCTAAATTGCGACGACTTGTCAACAAATTGATGACAAGGCAGGAAGCGAGAGGGGATGGTGGGGGGGGAGGCGATGGATCATTCTTTCCTTCTCTTTTTAAACTCGATTCGATTTAGATCTTTTTTTTTTACTTTCGCGCGAACAACCCTGCCGCCTCCCTCCATTATCGGTTGCTTTTGAAATGAAATAAAAGCGTTGCGCATGGCCGAGGAAAAAAGAGCCGGGGCCCTCTTTGAAGCCCGTGCCATTTCCTTGAGCCCGTGCCAAAATGTGACGGTGGGGGGGGGGGGGCTGCGCGCCAGCGCTAAAAATTCCAGACGGAGTTCGAGGTGGCGCCCACCGGCGCGATTCCACGCGCTCCGCTGCCCATCGCCCTCCATCGCCACCGCTCCATCGGCACCGCCGCTCCGCTCCGCCGTTAAAACCGCACGCCGCCTCCCGAACAATGAGAGGATGCTGGCGCCGGCCCACGACGCATCGCCATGTGCATCATCGGAAGCAGCAGCAGCAACAATGATCTATCCACTGCTGGATGCAGGCATCCTCACGGCACGTCGGTCACGTAGACAATTATCTGACCCTTACTTCGCCATGCTGGTCAATGCGGATTGGTGAAGGGGTTGTGGGTGTCCAAGGCCTCCAGGGTTTTAGTACCGGCCACGCAAATCGCCCGGACCACCCTCCTGGGGATTGTTTTGGCACGGGCCATATTTTGTGTGCTTATCGTCACCAGATGTCCACAAGGACAGGACGTACATTTCACTTCCTCGTCCTTAAGGCAAGCCGACCGTAATGGTTACACGCGAATGGCCGTGACGTCAAACTAACGGGGCGCATGCGACGTCGTGCGCTTCGGAAGAGTACCGAGCGAGCGGGGAACACATCCCCCGCCGTCCAGTGGTGTTGGCCATGGCCAGGACTGGTTCGTCACGCGGTGCTTTACACCACTGCACAACGGCTCCAACAAAGATAAACATCGCCCGTATTGCCCGTATTGTCTAACCAGACTGTCGGGGCAAGTCCTGTTGGCGAGCACCTATGAAGGCCAGCACAGCACACGGGGGGGGGGGTGGCCAACACCACGCCTGGCCGCCTTTGTCTCCCCAGTGGCGATGTTTACACACCGCACCAGGTACTCATTTGACGCCGAGTCGACCTAGGGGAGGCACAGGACCGGTTCAGATAATCGTCACTGGTGTTGGCCGTGAGCGGGAATCGAACCCGGGTTTCCAGGTTCTACCACTCCCCAGCATGAGGAGAAACACACACTCACAGAAGACACAAAGATTCCCCATAAACCATTCACAGACTTTTAGGGTAAGTGCTGCTCGCAAAAACCTATGCAGGGCAGAACTATACACTAGGGGGTGGGCGGGCAGCAGCATGCCCGCCCGCCTTCGTCTCCCCAGTGGCGGTGTTTACTACACCCCACGTCAGGTGAGTCGACGTAGGTCCAGAGCTCCAGGACCGGTTTATGCACAAAGACACACACAGATGACACAGCCGCCGCCATTCACCTGCGCTCGTTGTCGTCGAGATGTGAGAAAAGCACGTTCTTGGCGATGGCCTTGGACAGGGCCTGCATTGTCTTGTAGTCCTTGGGGATGACCTGGTGGCCGGGGAGGGGGGGGGGGTGCCGGGGGAGAGAGCACGACAGAAAAAATAAGAGGGCGGACACCCCTAAGTGAACGCTCGCTGTCGGAAATGAACCACTGAAACCTTGCCCTTTGATGATTGGGCGTGTTGAACGCTTCCTTCTTACACGTGACTGTTTTACTTTGTTTAGCTGTGCCGGGAGGCCGAGGGCCTTAAACGACACACTCACCACACGCTTGCGCAGATTAATAGGCGGCCTAAAAAATATTCCGAATAACTCGACTTCAGTTTTACAACAACAAACGCTCAAAGCCGCTATCTTCCGCCTCGTGATTTCATCATTTAGATCCCGGTCCACCTTCAGTAACTGCACGATGGACAGACATGAGTGGAGAAAATGGAACAAAAGCTGAAAAGTGTGCAAAAGAAGCTTCGGCGAGGCACATTCCGCAATTTACGCTGACAGACGGGGAGAGGAGCGGCAAGTTATAGACGTCATGGATCGTGAGAGAAATCATCGTGACCTCTAAGTCGGGTACGAGGGCTGTGCAGGACATGTCACCCGGAGGGATGAGCGCTGGCCGAGACTAAAGATGGAATGGCAGCCAAAATAAGGAAGGAGCATGCCCAAGAGTGAGGTCACATTGGGAACGGAGCGACGAGCCGAGCTACGTGTTGCACGAGCGAGATGGATTGCCACATCGCAAGACCGTGGGAGATGATGACAGCCTGGGGTGGCCAACATCCCGCAGTGGATATATCATGGACGACAACGATGATGATGATGATGGTGGTGGTGGTGGTGATGAGCATAAAGATGTTATCACGTTGACGTGGTCATCAATCCTTCGTGGTCTCACCCACACCTACCCCTCCCCTCCGCTTATCTCTCCTCGCCTCTCGTCCTTGTACCCAGCATGCCGAGCATTCCACTAACCTCGACCTTCTTATCGCACCTGCTGCATTCGACCTCTCTCCTCCGTGAAGTAGGGGGGTGGGGGGAGTTGCTCATGCTTCTCTGCCGCTCCTGTTGTTTGAAAATTCTCCCCTCGTGTTATCCATGTCGCTCTGTCCCCTGATTAGAAGTCCTGCTCAACGCCCACATTGCCCCCCTCCCACCCCCCTCTCCGTTTTTGACCGACTGACTACCTGGAACTGGAATTAGAATCTTTATTTATAGCGGGAGGAATCCAATGAGATATAAAACTTTTTTTTGGCACAGATGACCAGTAGGTGCAGGTCACAAAGTTACGACGTCAAACAATACAAAAAACACGATAGGAGTGCAACGTATATAAAAAGTAGACAAATCACTCGAATTTAATCATTAAATTTCTTTGATTTTACCAGGTAGAGCCCACCGAGCTATTTAGCTTCTTTTTCAGAAGCGACCTGGCCATCACAAATGAGAGCTCAACGAGCCTCGTCGGATACTCGGAGAGAAAGTAGCCGCTTTAGTGAACTCATACAAATATTAACGAGGCAGTTAGAAATAACAACACGTGTTGTTGTTGTTGTTGGTGGGGGAGGGGGGGTTGTTTTTTTGCCACTGTAGCCCCATCACCTAGGCCCCCCCCCCCAGTCCTTGGCCCCCGGTGCAGGTGCACCGCCTGCGCACTCCACAGCGACGCCACTTGCCCAGACCATGACGCCGCCCACCCGACGACTTGCTCACCTTTTCCCTACTTTGCACTGCTATCGTCTTTTCGTCTTGTTTGCTGTTGTGACTTGCTGGCCCCCGTGCCCCTACTGGACATCTGCGTAAAAGAGCTGCATAGCTCATCGGATTCCCCCAGGATAATATACAAGATTCTGATTCTGACGTACGAGACACTCGCCTCCTCCTCCTCCGTGTGCGGTTATCCCCGCGTTCACACAGTAGAGGGCAGCACCTACCATTGGCACCCTGCAACAACTCAGTAACGCTCACCTTGCGGACAGAGGGCAGCACCTCCCCACGCACCCTGCCACGGAGAGTAATGCTCACTTTACCCACTTACCTCCTCCTGCGTGCAGTGACCTCTCTGGTGGACACAGTCTGGGGGGTGGGGGGGGGGCAGCACCTACCCACACACTGTGCCACGGAGAGTCACGCTCACCTTGCGCACATACGAGGCGGCGTCCTCCTCGGTGTAGACCTCGGCGCTCACCGCTCCGCGCCGCATCAGCCTCTGCACCACGGGGTTTGGCGGCGGAGGAGAGATCTCGTCCTCGCGCGAGTCCCACTGCGACGAGCCGCCTCTCTGCCGCGCCTCCTCCTGCCAAAGGTCAAACGCCACCAGCACCACCGACACCGACGACGACAAATGACCGAGCCACGTTAGCTCGGTAACATTTCAATCGCAATTTTTTTCGAACAACGTAGCTCCCAATCCTGGTTGTAGGACATCGGCTGAGCTGAGTCAGCCACTCGATCGTTCTGCTTGGGGATGGTAAAACTGAGTACCACAAGGTGCTAGCGAGGCATGCGGAGTCAGAGAGGCTGAGCCAGAACGGTCGAGATGCTGGACTTGGAATCCGGATTCCAGCAGCCGTGATTAAAGTTGAAGTGTGTTGTTTGTTTAATTAGTATTTGATCTACCTGGCCAGGATTGAGCAAAACTTAGCCCACTTATCACCCAGGCAACTGCAGATCACGGATTAAGTGTTTCTGACGTACCGTTAGACAATAACATATTTTAAATCACGACGTTTCGGGCGCAACGTCGTGATTTATTTTATTTTATTTTCTACCTACGTGACTTTACCGAAAGAACCAAAGAGTATGGATTCCTGCAGTCACGAAAGCTTCAAATCAAGATTAATAACATATTTAAGAATCACAGCTAAGGGACAAACAACGGGCGAAGCGGCGTGATGGTGTCAGTCGGGTGACCAATGGCCATGCCAAAAATAAAAACGGCGCATTAAATTAGGATGAGCACCCAATCGGGAAAAAAAAATCCCAACTCTGAAAATTATCACAAAAAGCGGGGTTTGACTGCCTTGCAAAACAAAACCTTTCTCTTCAGGAGCGTGTCGATTAAATGAGGCCACTCAACTACTCGGGAAGTATGCTTTTGATATCTTTCTTCTCACAGGATGTTACGATGCTGTGCGAGAGAGTTCCAAATGGAGCCGTCTCACGACGCGACGCCAACAGCACAATGGGAAGCAAAAATCGTGGAAAATTGTCAACAAGCAATAAAAACAGACGCCACCTTGAGCCAATGGAAGTTACCGCTATCAAGGGGCCGTCCCCCGCCCCCCCCCTCTTCCTCCCACACAACGAATGTGGAATTTCCACTGCCGCCTTAATTCTCAGGGCTTGCGACAGGCACGACTAACGGCCCCCAATGGCACGATTGAGCTCGGGAAGAGGGAGGGTTTGTTGGCTTTGAGTTGGATGTGGAAAGGGAACTGGATTTCTCAGCGGGCTAACCCGAGTCAGGTTCAATAAAGGGGGCTCTGTGTGATGACCTAAAGGGGACCCCCCTCCTCCCTACACACCCCCCCCTCCCTGCACCAACCCCCCCCCCTTCCTACACACCCCCCCCCCCCCCCACCAATGTGGACAATCTGTGTGGGAGAGAGAGAGAGAGACCCCCTCTCGGTGGCCTGTGACGTGCGCTTGAGCGTCAAATGACGCCTCTCGGAGCCATGGCAACACTGCAGGGTGGCGCGTAATGAGTGGGGCGAGAAAAATACAAAGACAAAGCTCCCCCCCTCCCCTCCGTATAGCCTGCACAGACTGTTGGGGGCAAGTGCTGTAAGCGAGCAGCACCTATGAAGGCCGTCACGGCACTAGAGGTGGTGATAGGTGGCCAGCACCACGCCCGGCCGCCTTTGTCTCCCCATTGGCAACGTTTTTATTTACACCACACTAGGTACTCAATTGAGGCTGAGTCGACCTAGGGGAGGCCCAGCACCGGTGCAGATAATCGTCATCGGTGTTGGTGGCCGAGAATGCGGGAATCAAAGCCGGGTTGCTGGGTTCGTAGCGCAGCGCGGTAACCGATACGCTACCTGCTGCCCACGATATATACACACACACAATAACTCGTATACATACATGTGCAGGGACAGGCATACAGTGAGGGAACAAAGTATTTGATCCCCTGATGATTTTGTACGTTTGCCCACTGACAAAGAAATTATCAGTCTAAAATTTTAATGGTAGGTTTATTTGAACAGTGAGAGACAGAATAACACAAAAAAATCCAGAAAAACGCATGTCAAAAATGTTATAAATTGATTTGCATTTTAATGAGGGAAATAAGTATTTGACCCCTCTGTAAAACATGACTTAGTACTTGGTGGCAAAACCCTTGTTGGAAATCACAGAGGTCAGACGTTTCTTGTAGTTGGCCACCAGGTTTGCACACATCTCAGGAGGGATTTTGTCCCACTCCTCTTTGCAGATCTTCTCCAAGTCATTAAGGTTTCGAGGCTGACGTTTGGCAACTCGAACCTTCAGCTCCCTCCACAGATTTTCTATGGGATTAAGGTCTGGAGACTGGCTAGGCCACTCCAGGACCTTAATGTGCTTCTTCTTGAGCCACTCCTGTTGCCTTGGCCATGTGTTTTGGATCATTGTTATGCTGGAATACCCATCCACGACCCATTTTCAATGCCCTGGCTGAGGGAAGGAGGTTCTCACCAAAGATTTGACGGTACATGGCCCCGTCCATCGTCCCTTTGATGCGGTGAAGTTGTCCTGTCCCCTTAGCAGAAAAACACCCCCAAAGCATAATGTTTCCACCTCCATGTTTGACGGTGGGGATGGTGTTCTTGGGGTCATAGGCAGCATTCCTCCTCCTCCTCCAAACACGGCGAGTTGAGTTGATGCCAAAGAGCTCCATTTTGGTCTCATCTGACCACAACACTTTAACCTAGTTGTCCTCTGAATTATTCAGATATTCATTGGCAAACTTCAGACGGGCATGTATATGTGCTTTCTTGAGCAGAGGGACCTTGCGGGCGCTGCAGGATTTCAGTCCTTCACGGCATAGTGTGTTACCAATTGTTTTCTTGGTGACTATAGTCCCAGCTGCCTTGAGATCATTGACAAGATCCTCCCGTGTAGTTCTGGGCTGATTCCTCACCGTTCTCATGATCATTGCAACTCCACGAGGTGAGATCTTGCATGAAGCTCCAGGCCGAGAGAGATTGACAGTTCTTTTGTTTCTTCCATTTGCGAATAATCGCACCAACTGTTGTCACCTTCTCACCAAGCTGCTTGGCAATGGTCTTGTAGCCCACAATCTTGTCCCTGACATCCTTGGAGAGCTCTTTGGTCTTGGCCATGATGGAGAGTTTGGAATCTGATTGATTGACTGCTTCTGTGGACAGGTGCCTTTTATACATGTAACAAGCTGAGATTAGGAGCACTCCCTTTAAGAGTGTGCTCGTAATCCCAGCTCGTTACCTGTATAAAAGACACCTGGGAGCCAGAAATCTTTTTGATTGAGTGGGGGTCAAATACTTATTTCCCTCATTAAAATGCAAATAAATTTATCACATTTTTGACATGCGTTTTTCTGGATTTTGTTGTTGTTATTCTGTCTGTCACTGTTCAAATAAACCTACCATTAAAATTATAGACTGATCATTTCTTTGTCAGTGGGCAAACGTACAAAATCATCAGGGGATCAAATACTTTTTTTCCCTCTCTGTATGAACACACATGCACGACATATACTGCATACAAATACACGCACACACGTGTATCTGTAATATAAAAGCAAATAAAACTAAATCAACGATAGACAGACAGACACATACAAACCATATACAGAGACATACACACATCTGGTGCGGTTTGTAAACATCGTCACTTGTGGAGACAAAGGCGGCCGGGCGTGGTGCTGGCTACCCACCCCGTCGTGTGCCGTGCCGGCCTTCATAGGTGCTCACTAACAGCACTTGCCCCTTCAGTCTGTTAAGGCTATAGGGGGATCTTTGTCTTTGATGCATGTATATATGCAGTGACGCAAATACACACATTTATACACTGGGACATAGCCACACACGTACACATATATACACAGACATATATACACACACTTAAACAGTGTACATATCAACTAGGATCTACCCACTGCTGGATGAAGGCTTCCCCTAGCCACTGCCATCTTATATTTTGTTTACGACAGCCAGTGAATAAATCATTCGAACTGAACGCGTATATAATGACACGTACGAAGGATCGGGAATCAAACCCAGGTGGCTGTGTTTGGAGCTTTGTGAGCTAACACACTGCGCCCAATGCCCCCCCCCCCCCGAGTATGCACACCCACTGGCACTCACTCCCACTGGCACTCACACCCACTGGCACTCACTCCCACTGGCACTCACACCCACTGGCACTCACAAACACTGGCACTCACTCCCACTGGCACTCACACCCACTGCCACTCACACCCACTGCCACTCACACCCACTGGCACTCACTCCCACTGCCACTCACTCCCACTGGCACTCACACCCACTGGCACTCACTCCCACTGGCACTCACACCCACTGGCACTCACTCCCACTGGCACTCACACACACTGGCACTCACTCCCACTGGCACTCACACCCACTGCCACTCACACCCACTGGCACTCACTCCCACTGGCACTCACACCCACTGCCACTCACACCCACTGGCACTCACTCTCACTGGCACTCACACCCACTGGCACTCACTCCCACTGGCACTCACTCCCACTGGCACTCACACCCACTGGCACTCACACCCACTGGCACTCACTCCCACTGGCACTCACACCCACTGGCACTCACTGCCACTCACACCCACTGGCCCTCACTCCCACTGGCACTCACACCCACTGGCACTCACTCCCACTGGCACTCACTGCCACTCACACCCACTGGCACTCACTCTCACTGGCCCTCACTCCCACTGGCACTCACTCCCACTGGCACTCACACCCACTGGCACTCACTCCCACTGGCACTCACACCCACTGGCACTCACTCTCACTGGCCCTCACTCCCACTGGCACTCACTCCCACTGGCACTCACACCCACTGGCACTCACACCCACTGGCACTCACTCCCACTGGCACTCACTCCCACTTCCACTCACTCCCACTGGCACTCACTGCCACTCACACCCACTGGCCCTCACTCCCACTGGCACTCACACCCACTGGCACTCACACCCACTGGCACTCACTCCCACTGGCACTCACACCCACTGCCACTCACACCCACTGGCACTCACACCCACTGGCCCTCACTCCCACTGGCACTCACACCCACTGGCAC